TGATTTTATTTCTTTGTTTCAAAGCATGGAGGTGTATTAACCTTTGAACTATTGTGTATTATGTATTTGTTGTATGATTTTATTTCTTTGTTTCAAAGCATGGAGGTGTATTAACCTTTTGAACTATTGTGTATTATGTATTTTTTGTATGATTTTATTTTTTTGTTTCAAAGCATGGAGGAGTATTAACCTTTGAACTATTGTGTATTATGTATTTATGGTATGATTTTATTTCCTTGTTTCAAAGCATGGAGATGTATTAACCTTTTGAACTATTGTGTATTATGTATTTGTTGTATGATTTTATTTTTTTGTTTCAAAGCATGGAGGTTTATTAACCTTTGAACTATTGTGTATTATGTATTTGTGGTATGATTTTATTTCTTTGTTTCAAAGCATGGAGGTGTATTAACCTTTTGAACTATTGTGTATTATGTATTTGTAACTTTGAAACTTGGTACTGCCAGTTTTGGTTTATGTTTTAGTGAAACTTGGTACTGTCAGTTTTGGTTTGTGTTTTAGTGAAACTTGGTACCGTCAGTTTTGGTTTGTGTTTTAGTGAAATTTGGTACTGTCAGTTTTGGTTTGTGTTTTAGTGAAGCTTGGTAATGTCAGTTTTGGTTTGTGTTTTAGTGAAACTTGGTACTGTCAGTTTTGGTTTGTGTTTTAGTGAAGCTTGGTACTGTAAGTTTTGGTTTATGATTTAGTAAATGCTCCAGAAGAAGCTGTAAAGTGAAACATTGAGTGTCTAATTAAATAATAACAACATTTTGGTGTTATAAGGTCATTTATTTCTAGTATTAATATGTCTTATATACACCAAAGTTTAAACTAATACTTTGATTAGTTAAACAGTATAAGTTAAAGACACTTCAGTTTTAAGCTTAACTATTTTTATTACCAGTATCTAAGTGTACAATTAGGTGGCTAAACATCTAAAGACATATTGTAATGTGATTAACAGTTCTGAGCAACACCTCGCAGCAAACCCAACACTCCCATACACAGCTTATAACTGGTTTTGTAATAATTCATCTGCTTGTCTAGTTGACGAATAAAGAAGGTTATCTTTAGATTAGATTTAATTTTTGAGTGATTACACAACCCAGAGTTACCTGCAGTTGTAACGAATTCACAAACCAGGTAACATAAATTTGTTAAGTTTTTCTGATTATCGTAAACATTTTTCTTCATTATTTACAGATAACCCAAACCAGCCATTTTTGACTTTGAAACCATCTTCGTCACTACTGTGTGTGGAGTATTGCCCCAAAGATCAGAATTTACTGGTTTCTGGATGTTATAATGGACAACTTGGTAAAGAAGCTCTCAGTATTTTAAATAGACCCACAGAAGAACAAAAACATTTATTTGCTTAAAGATATAAAGTTTTGTTAATTTAAATTCTTTCTATGTGCAGTTTCCTGAACATGTGTTGTTTATGTAGTTGTACTTTTGCACACATTAGATTTTAAAAATGATTAATGTAAGGTGCAAACAGGGGAGTAATGTAAGGTGCAAACAGGGGATTAATGTAAGGTGCAAACAGGGGATTAATGTAAGGTGCAAACAGGGGAGTAATGTAAGGTGCAAACAGGAGAGTAATGTAAGGTGCAAACAGGGGAGTAATGTAAGGTGCAAACAGGGGATTAATGTAAGGTGCAAACAGGAGAGTAATGTAAGGTGCAAACAGGAGAGTAATGTAAGGTGCAAACAGGGGAGTAATGTAAGGTGCAAACAGGAGAGTAATGTAAGGTGCAAACAGGGGATTAATGTAAGGTGCAAACAGGGGATTAATGTAAAGTGCAAACAGGGGAGTAATGTAAGGTGCAAACAGGGGATTAATGTAAGGTGCAAACAGGGGAGTAATGTAAGGTGCAAACAGGGGAGTAATGTAAGGTGCAAACAGGGGATTAATGTAAGGTGCAAACAGGGGATTAGATGATTATATTAAATATGATGCTTTGTACGTCTAATAACAGATGAAAAACTTTCTATGTTTTAGCTTTGTGGGATGTGCGTAAAGGCTCTACTCCTGTTGAAGTATCTACAATTGAGAACAGCCATCGAGATCCAGTGTACAGTACACTGTGGCTACATTCAAAAACAAATACTGACTGCTTCTCTGCCTCTACAGATGGCAGGGTGAGATTCCTTAGTTTACATATTGACGATAAGCTCTAATCTCAGTTGCATGCTGGACCTGGAATCTTAAGTAATAAAAAAAAACGAGTTATTTATTCATTGCTAAAAAAATAGTTTTTGATTTAATAAACTGGAAATGAAAATGAGTGCATGAGAAGAAACCACGATAAAACATATTTATAAATATATTTTTTAAGACTTTTTGTAACTTCACTATTTATGTTTCTGAATTAGTACCCCCTTTAGGGTTAGTTGTGAACCTTAAGTTTATTGTCATCAATGCCATATTTCAATAAATTATAAAGTTTGTATTTCTCATCTCTCTGACAGCTCCGTCCATTCCCTAAAAATCCCTGTAACATCGTATTATTATACATGCACACAGTCATGTATCTGCTATATAACTGTTTCTCTGTTGTAATTGATATTCCCTTATTTTTTCAGTAGGGTTTAAAATGTATGAAGATTTGTTGTGAATAAAAACGTAAATAAAATATGGTCGTTTTGTTTTAGAACTTTAATATTTAACTTGTTTAGAAGGTTACTATATTATAGTTTTAACTGGTACGTTTACATTGATTTAAACAGATAATGTGGTGGGACGTCAGGAAGCTGAATGAACCAATAGAAGTTCTTGTTCTGGATCTTTCAAAAAATCAACCTCCAAAACTAGACAAGGCACTCGGAGCCTGTTGTTTGGAGTATGAAGCCACAATGGTTGTTTTTTCTTTTCACTATTTTTTTAGTTTTTAGATAAAATATTTTTGCTATAAATAAAGTGTCAGAATTATTAGAATAGGTGGCTATTTGTGCTAGTAATTACTGATCATAGCATTCATACCTCATTGAAAAAATGTTAACATTTTCTAAAAATGATTTTTTTTCTGGGAAGTACTGCATGGAAAAAAAGTGTTTGGATTGTGATATTTAGTCATAAGCAACTCATTGCATCAAAATGATTCAATGTACAGAGCTCAAACTTTTACTGATATAAACTGTAATATTTTATATATTAAAAGTGGTACCGTTTATTGAAAAAATAATAGTTTTTTAAGAACTCCAGTTTCTAAGTACTACATTTAAAAATGACACCAATAAAGATATAATCAAATCCTCACGTACAGTCCTAGTGAAAGTCATGTTCTTGTTGTGAGGAGAGTACTTTTATATAAAATTGTGTTATGCTGTAAAGAAATGGTTGTTGTACATACCACAGTTATTTTTCTAATTGTCTGAATCTTAAATACCCAAAGTGTGATTTTTTGTTTATGGTGCCATTCAATAGATGGTGCAGATGTTTTGGTTACATACATAGATACTGACATACATGCTATGTCCATTATAGTAAGATTGACTCTAATATTTCTGCCTGAATAAAATTTTAATGAAGATTTGTTTGATATAATAATAACAACGTTCCTAAAGTAAAAGTTACTCTGTTTTATCTTATTTTGAACCTTGTTCTGTTCCAACCATAAACTTTGTTGGCTGACTTAACTTACGGTTACACTTAACTTTGAGAATAAGAAAGAAAAAAGGTAACTTCAAATAAAATCAACTTAATGGTTTTCTCAACCACATTTTATGTGAAAACTTGCACGTATTCAGATCAAAGAACAAATATTACAAGAAGAGAAAAATCCATGGTATATTCCGATATTATAAAGCAACTAAAAGACATAAGTTCAGTAATAATTTTTTTCAAGATCTTAACACTCGCTGATTAAGGAAAGTCTAACTCGCATGGGCTATCTGTGCTCTGCCCACCACGAGTATCGAAACCTGGTTTCTAGCATTATGTGTCCACAGACATACCACTGGGGGGTCATTTACCAAAAGCTAAATTACTAAATAAATTTACTTAGAATATAAAAAAGTACTTGCCCGAGCTGTCCAGTCACCAATGGTAAGAAAGTTTTTTGGAAAAAATGGATTTCTTTGAAGGGTGTATACAGGTCCAAGATGAGCATTGTAAACTGCTGCTATTTTCTCTGCTGGTGACTTAGCCTTACGATTACATGAGAGAACTTAACCTGTTATTATTCATGGAAAATGTTGCTTAATGTGACCTTGACCTTCCATAGTGTAACCTGTTATTATTCATGGAAAATGTTGCTTAATGTGACCTTGACCTTCCATAGTCTAACCTGTTATTATTCATGGAAAATGTTGCTTAATGTGACCTTGACCTTCCATAGTGTAACCTATTATTATTCATGGAAAATGTTGCTTAATGTGACCTTGACCTTCCATAGTGTAACCTGTTATTATTCATGGAAAATGTTGCTTAATGTGACCCTGACCTTCCATATGGATTAAGTTACTAATGTCCTTTAGTGGTTGTCCAGGTAATACCTAGAGGTTAATTTTGAGAGTAACCTGTCACATGGTGGTACCAGTTGAACAGTATAAATACAAGGTTTCTTCAAACCTAAATGGAAGGGAATAAGGTGAAACAAGGAATACAAACCAAGCTTAGCCTAGGTAAGGTAAGGGTATGAAACCTTGTATTATGCAGTCTGCTGAGTCCTTAGTCCAGTGAACCAGTTTTATGGTAAGTGTTTTATTAAAGATTGTTCATTTTGTTTAACTGTTTGTCCAGTTTCTATCTCATTTAGCAAAGTTCCAGTTAGTAAGTGTTTTTAGTATTACTCCATATCCTGATTAAATCTCCTGTTTTCTGGACCTACCTAATGAAGCTCAAACTTTATAAGAACCCTAGAAGTTAGAACCTATTAAAGGAAATAAGTTACAAATGTACACTGAGTGGAAACACAACTCCCTCACTGCATGTGGAGAAGTAAGGGGTATGATCCAGGAAAAACCACGCAAGGTGTAAGGGGTATGATCCAGGAAAAACCACGCAAGGTGTAAGGGGTATGATCCAGGAAAAACAATGCAAGGTGTAAGGGGTATGATCCAGGAAAAACCATGGAAGGTGTAAGGGGTATGATCCAGGAAAAACAATGCAAGGTGTAAGGGGTATGATCCAGGAAAAACCACGCAAGGTGTAAGGG